AATAAATTAAAAAAAAAACATACTTTTACAGATTTAAATCTTTTGTTAAACAGAATATAAAAAAGAATAGACTCTGGTTCAATTGTTATCTATATATTTTTTAATATCTATATATATTATTAATAAATATTATAACAAAAGCTTTATAAAATTTGTTTAGCAATAATAATAATTTTAGTTCAGTAACGAATTTTTAATTTCGAATAACTCAAACAAACGAACTATGCAATGAACAATGCCTGGTACTTACCTCATCAATAGAAGACTCGGCCGGTGCATTACCATTACCTGAGGAGTCATTTAGGAAAACATCATTTGTCGGATAGGAATCAGTAGGACTAGCGGTAGCATCAGTAGCATCTGTAGTCTCCGAAGTATCTTTTAATAATTGTTCTATTTCTGCTGTAGTATTAGCGGTTGGTAAGGATTCACTTGTTTCATTATAGGAGCTCTCAAAGGCTTTCGATACTGCTGAATTAAGTTCGTCAGGAGATTCTCTGACTTGGATTTGTCCTTCTTTATTCATTTCAACCTGATGTTTTCGTATATAATTTGCAGCATTTAAAAAGTTAATAAAGCATTAAGGTTAGATAAAAAATTCTCTTCTCAAAATATAACAAATAATTTTTAGTTTTTACTGGATTTAGTGGTTAGTCGAGGCTAAATTTATGAACGCCGAAAGCAACTCAAAATAACAAAAAATATATTTTTTATATATTTTAAAATTTTTATTTTAACAAAATTAACTCAAGACGAAATATTATTTAATAAAAATGAAATGTTCAAATTGTTAAAGAAAAATAATAAAAATAAATTACCTTGAATGGATTTAAATTATTTTGATTCTAGGATTTGTGCATGGTCGAGTAAAATACATTTTTGAAATTTTTTTTTTTGCAATGGTTGTTGTGCGCGATATCATTGAAGTGTAGAATCATGAAAAAAATATGTGAAATAAAAAATTTTAAAAATAAATTAAAATTAAAATTTAACCAATTATATAAAATAATTAAAATTAAATATTAATACTTAAACAAAAATAGCAAAAGGAAATGTTGGTGGCGAAGGTAGTTTTGTTTTTAAAATCTTTTTATTTTAAAAGTTTTAAAACACATAACTTGGTTTTTTGCCATAATCATTAAACTCTAAACAATAAATCTTTTAATTGAAAAAGTCAAAAGCTGTTTTTAATTTCAACTAGTCTTTACTTCCTATAATTAACATATGGTACTAATGGCTACCAGGCCTGTAACCATAAATTTGCTTCTGCTAATTTGAAGAATTTAAAAGAATAATTTAAAAACAAAGTCTTTTGATTCATTCCGACCTACAGCATCTGAAGATCACGACCTACAGCATCCATTTATCACGAAACAAACTTTAATGCAAAGAATCATCAATTTGTGATAAGCATATACATGTTTAACATGTTCAGCGGTTGTTAAACGATTCATATTGTAAAATGACTAAACGTATAATGCCTTTTATTAAAATTTTGAATCAATAAAATATTGTCATGGATATATTAAAATAGTAACTCTACTATAGTACTTCTAGAAATTATAAGTAGAGATATTTTATATGTTTTTAAAATTATTTAAATTCGATGGATAGTCACGATTTAACAATTACCTAGCTAAATATGCCATCTCACAATTCCGTAACATAGCATATTTAAAATTATATAACCATTTAAACCTTCCCAGCCATATCTATCAATTCTACGAGAACTTCTACCGATTCTACAATCACTTCTATAGATACTACTATCACTTCTATAGATATTGCTATCAATCCTATAGATACTACAATCACTTCTATCGATTCTACGATCACTTCTATCAATTCTACGAGAACTTCTACCGATTCTACAATCACTTCTATAGATACTACTATCACTTCTATAGATACTACTATCACTTCTATAGATACTACTATCACTTCTATCGATTCTACGATCACTTCTATTAATTCTACGATCACTTCTATCGATTCTACGATCACTTCTATTGATTCTACGATCACTTCTATAAATCTACGATAACTTATTCAAAATCTTGTATTCAATTATTCTACCCATTAACCATAATAATAACAAATGAATTAAACTTCTCTAGTACTCACCCTTTGAACACTATGGATAATTAATGTACTTTTACTGGGTTGTCCGTTGGTGGATGAGAGTGAACCATCCTGTAAGGCACGTACAGCAGCATCAGCTAAAGCAGCACCATTTTTAATTTGCTCATTAATGAGAGGCGAATTTAAACGTAAGGCTTCTTTAACATTATGTGATTTTGAACCAACGGGTATTTCTGCACCCTCAATGAAAACGAAGTCGACAGTGATATTACCAAATACAGGTTGAGTTTCATAGGGACGTGGTTGTAACGATAGCACCTGTGTAGATGCAGGCCCCACAGCCAATTCATCTATACCAACCAAACCAAGACCCAAAAATTTAGGTTGATCATTAACATTTAGTGGTCGATCATAAACTTCAAAGAGTATCTCAGCAGATTGTGGCGCCAATTCGCTGTAATTAAAATAAAATATTTTAATCTTTAATGTCTGATATTTGATATTTCTAAATAAAATAAATTTCTATATTTAAGTTTAGTGCTTATTTTTGTGACACTAAAGTTATGTCTGCACTTACAACAAAAAGTGTTCATCCCAGTAAGGGCTTATGCCTTGACGTGTACCGGTTTGATTCTTCTGTGCTGGTTCATCCATTTCAACTACCACATATGGATCTTTAGCATCCTTAAGTCCATCGCCTTTAACAATTTTTACAAGTAAGCGTCGACCAGAAATCATTTGTTGTTGGTAGGTGCCACTGGCATTCAAACCATCCATGTTGTGCTGTACGTTTAGGGTTGGATTGTTGAAAGTTGAAAAATTATTTAAAATTTTCTCTATAAATATCCTTTAACTAAAGGATTTTTTCTTGGGATATATAATCAAATTTTGTTGTTTAAAGAATTCGCCTTTGATATTGATTATGAAATAGGATTTTATGAATACAATAAAATACAAAAAAAAGTGAATTCATTTCCAATGATTTTCTGAGCTTTTCTATAGTAGATCAGGTTTTATTAAAATGATATTATATATATTATTATGCAGTATATAACAAGATCTAATTAAGATATTTTTTATTAAAATTATTATTTAATTTAGAATCAGGATATGATACATAGTATATGCGTGAGTCAATAATATTAATCCAGAATGATATTAAACGATTTAAATAGGTGTCAAGGTGTCAGTAAAGTTTAACACCCCGATATTATATCCATAATATTAGAAAAATGTGATTTAATATTGATACTAAGTTGTGAGTATTGAGTTGATATAACCTTTATTGGATATAATCGATATAATAATTCTATTGAAAATATTTTACAAATAAAATATAAGCCAACTCATATATCTCTGATGATTAATTTCGAATATGAAAATTATTTTTATAGTATACATTAAGACTGAAAAGTTTTCGGAAATTCTCATTTAAAATTCGCGCGCTGTATATTTTTCGATATTTTAAGTTTATGTAGTTTGGCAGCACTGTCCTTAATTACTATGCCAAAAATGAGCGCGATCTGTCAGACAGTTCGTTTACGGCAGCTGTTGAAACCAGTTCACCTCAGTAGTGCGTTGCGAAATGTCTTCGACGGTCGTACGACCGTCCTGAAAGGCTTTGTACCACTCATAAACTTGAGTTTTCGATAAAACTGATTCCCCATAAGCCTTTTGTAGCATTCGCAACGATTCTGCACACGAAATTTCGTTCGAAACACAAAATTTGATGCAAACTCTTTGTCCAATATTTTTTTCCATTGTTTTTTTCGCAACGCACTACTGAGGTGAACTGGTTTCAACAGCTGCCGTAAACGAACTGTCTGACAGATCGCGCTCATTTTTGGAATAGTAATTAACGAAAGTGCTGCCAAACTACATAAACTTAAAATATCGAAAAATATACAGCGCGCGAATTTTAAATGAGAATTTCCGAAAACTTTTCGGTCTTAATGTATATTAAAAAATTAATAATTGTAATAATTTTGATAGGCTCTCTGAAATGATAGAGAAAGAAAATTAAAAAATTTTAGTTTTAATAACTAAAATTTCTATATATTATTAAACGTTATGACGTATAGGAACTATCTCAAGTCAAAGGCGAATTTCATAGTAGGGTACAAGGACTATAAAAACATATATAACAGATATATAAAAACAACAAAATAAGTATTGTGGATTGAAAAATATAGTAATTATAATATAAACAATATGAGCGAAAGGAGAACAATGAGAAGGTTTGTGTAATATAATATATATATATATATATATATATTATATATGTCAGTTGTTAAAGTATTGTGTAAAGTTAAATATAGTACTGTTTTCAAATATACATCACTTCTTCACAGGGAACAAGAACTGATAATTGAAGAGAAACCAAATTATTGAATATAAAAAATATATAATTATAAAAATAGATCCACTACCGATATATCTATTTAGGGTATAAAAAATATATAATTATAAAACTACTATCGACATATCTATTTCACAATTAGAATAATTTTATGAATATAATTATATAAATCTAATAACATAGATCTAGTATCATATATCGTCTGACATTTTTTAGGAACAAAAAACAGAGGCGTAGTGGTAAAAAAATAATTTTGAGATCTGTTTTAAAACTCTCTATGTATAATTATATGAATATAACAAATCCACATTTAAATCTATTCTGAAACGTTTTTAGTGAAATTCTATAATTTAAAAATATGTACCTTCTGCCACATATATTTTAAAACGTTATATGTAGAGTTTTTTAAGCATAAATACGAGTATATATACTTAAAATATACAGAGTCCTATTCTAAACTTCCTCAGTTACGTTTAATGACTGTAGCTGATCTGTTTGTTTTCTATTTTTTCTCTTTTTCCTGGTTTCATGATTATAAAAATATCCCAGTGATAGATCCGCTGCCAGTTTTTTTTTTTTGTTTCTTTCTAGATAAAATTCTATGATTAGATTACAATCATAGATTAAAGTATAAATCTACTACTAAATCTATTCGAATACTTGATTAATAGATATTTTTGAGTACGTTTACTTCTTAAAGTAAAAACAAATAAAAGTAAGGATATACATCATATTCCAGATTTCCTATAGAAATTTCTTACTAGAATATATATATACTATGTATGGATATATGTAATAATATAAGTATATAATGAGTATATATAACTATATACAAAGGACTTCAGGAGTTAAATATTTAAATAATGTTAATACAATAAAATAGATTTAGTACAAAATATAAGAAGGGAATTCGGAACTTTGTCACAAGTTAAGGTAGATAGGTGAATATGTGTGATTGCCTGTTTTCTTTACTGAAGAAATTTTCATAAAAGAATATAGATTAATAAAAATAATTTTTGTATTATAATCGTTAAGTATTCAATGAATTTCATATAGTTTTAATTTATAAAGTTTACTCTTCATATGTTTCTAAGTGTTGTATAACTCTTTAATGGGTCCCAAGTCAAAAAAAAACATTGTTGAATTTATAATAATCTGTTTTTGTCAAGAACTGAATATAATATATATTCGTAAAAATCTAATGAACTCAGAAGAAAAATATAATTTCATGCGGGAAGCAACATCTTTACAACAAACTGAGAACACAATTAAACGACTTCTTCTCAATGCTCTCACTCTCACCGCCAGTGCATCGTAATGCATGGGATACATTACAGACAAATCCATTGGATCGATTTCGGCACGTGGGCATGTTGAGTACATAGAAAAGTCAACAGGATAAATAGTGTCACGCAATGCTCTTGTTAGCATGTCACTTATAACTTCCTGTAACTGTTGCTCATCCTGATCCATTGGCTTAATAGCCCCAACACTATTCATTGCAATGCGTACCTATTGAAATGAAAAAAAGTTTCAATATTTTAATTAATTATAGTACAATTAAAGTACTTACATCCGGATAACCATCGACACGCATATCACCCTTTAATGAGTTATAGTTCATGGCAGTTGTCATGCGTGCACGAAAACGTGATACGGTCACCTTATAATGGGATGTCTCCAATTTGCCCGATTTTTGACGGAAGGTTTTGACCTGTAACACTGGCATGGCATCACAATCAAATGCGATGAGCTGTTTCAAGAAACGAAAAAAAATAAAATTAAAGGAGTTATAATAATATAACAAATTACGCAGAAGATTTTTGTAATTTACATATTTCAAAATATCAATTTCAAATAATATTTACATAAATATGTACAAAAATAAAATATATAAGGGACTTCAAGAAATGTAACCAATCTATTTACATATATATATTTATACAATAGCTTATGGATGAATTAAAGTATACTTACCATATCCGATGGATTATTCTCATTGCAATCACAGAAAATATTATTGAGACCAGGTGCTGGACTGTCTGGTAAAACACGTACAACCTCTACTGTAACACCTTGCTGAAATTATAGAAAAAAATTATGGGTAAGAATATTTGGTATATCACAAAAAACATATAAAAAAATAAAAAAAATTTTTCTATATTAAACTGGATTAGTATTGTCCTGCTAAAAACTTTAACTGGAAAAGTATTTATATTTATTTTGTATTTAGAAGAATTCGTCCAGGATTGTTTGCTAAATCTGGTGTAGTTTTTTAAATCGAGATGCAAGTTTTATTTTCGATTCGATACGTTCGATGTAAATCCCGAGCGAAATGTATAACACTCGAGATTAATTTATAACACTCTATATATTTAGAGCTGTTTTATATGACTTGAAAAAAAAGTATGATTTGATTCTACATATGTATTTATAAAAAATATAAATGTCTAATAACACTATTACAAAAATGTTAGATTATTCTAAAAATCTTAGATTGAGCAACAAAATTTTATGGATCGAGAGTTAATCTAGATTGAATCCAAATTTACCGATTGGTGATGTCATAAGAAATAAAAAAATAGACATTGCTCTAGTTTATTAAATCTATTTTATAACCAAAAATAAAAAAAACATGTCAACTGGTTTATCATATATTAATAAATTATTGTATAAAACACTCCTCTAACAACCCCTAGCAAAAAAAAAAAAACATATTTCGAGTTATTTTATAAATAAATCATTTACTATATACTACATTCTCATAGCATCCTTCTTATTTAAAATCAACTATTAGCTAACTTATTCATCAACACATATTACTTTATTTCAACGAACTCAGTCTATTGTTTAATCATCGCTACTATAGCATCTTGAAATGGTATACCTAACATATGAAGATATTTATATGTTATGCATATTAATTTTTAATATACATTGTTATTGACTATAATTATTAAAAAGTAACTTCTTGATACTAAAAGGACCCCCGAATACTGAACGATTAACTGCAGTATTTTCTGCAATTCTCTCTAAAGGGGTTAGCACCCCTTTAGTACTCATTGTTGAAGTCGTGGAAACTAATAATAATGTATTTATCTGGGGTTAGCTTCGAGAAAAAACAGATTTTTAGTGAAATAGATTTATGACAAATCGTTATACTTTTCATCAGTAAGGACAGAAGATCAGTTAAATTACTTAACCTAAGTATTAGTATCCCTAAGTACTTAAGGAAGTATTTTTTTTAATAGTTTGTTATAGTCTTCATTGGTAACGTCGAAAGTTTATTTAAATTATCTAAACTCAATGCAAAGGATTTAGTTTTTCTTTAAATTTCTTTGGGGGTCTGGAGAGGACTGTAGTAGTAAAGTAGCGAGTAATTTGCAATTTTAATCAGTGGAAGAGTATATGTTATTATATCAATACAACAAACCAACTTCTTGATTTATTATTTTGTGATAAAAACTTTTTTACAAATAAATGGATGTATTTCCCAAAATATATATTTTTTAACCATAATCAGAACCTTGAATTTACGGCTAAATAGTAGACTTCTTCTTTAGTAGGTATTTTTTTGGAAATTTCTGAAGAAAAATTACATATGTTAAGTAGTCTATAGTATAAACTAAATATTGTTTTTATTTATTTATTTTTATTTAGCATTAAATATTTTACATATTGAAAATCGCTCAGAAACAACAATTAAATAATCTCCTCCAACCGGTTTTTAGAGATTGTTCGAATACTGATTAAATTTTAATATTACATTATTAAATATTTCTATACTTTGAACTAAGTTAACAAGCAAGCTCTTAACATTTAAGGTTAAAACCTTTTATCTTAGACTATATATTAATCGTAATTAAAAAAACTTTTTTTTTCGAAGTGTTTGTAATGGGAATGTACCTATGGGTTTCTTTCATGTTCTTTGTTCTCATTTCCAATTTTATTTATTTTTATTTTATTTTTTTTATCAGTTGAAGCTCCGGGGCCAAGGTTAAGTTTGTATTATTTTTGCTTTTATGTATTTTATTTTGTTTTGTGGTTTAATTTTTCTGCTTTACTTTACTTTATTTTTTTCTTCGGTTTAATTTTTTTTCCATATGTGAACCACGTTTTGAAAAAAGCCGCTTACGTAATTTTCATAAACAAGTCTGACTCAATCGATAACAAGTCTTCAACATGAATTTGGGATGCCAGCACGAAATTTAAAAATAAATCAAAATATATATAAGAAAAAGGTGGTCCCTTATGGATCTAACATTAAAATAGGGTTCTTAAATTAACAAAAATAAATATAAAAAATATTTATCTCTCAAGATCGTTAAACTATTGTTGTTGTATTAATAAAAATATCTTATCTAATCAAATGTCTTATAGGTATATTATGTATAAGACATTATGTCGATATAAATAACCTTAAAGTCATCTCTGGTTCCTAGATATGGGATTCCCTATATTTATATTGTACCGAAATCTCGTAATTCGAGTTGAAATCTTTGGATTATTTACAAAGGTGTCTAATATTTGACTAGTTTTTATTTCCGATTTTGCTAAAATTATAAAAATCTTTTATTATTTCAATATTTAGCTCTCATAGATGAAAATAGATATTCGGACATTCTTGGTGCACATGGTAAAAAGACCATATACTATTGAAATTATATTAAAAATAGATGTGCTAAGTGTATCAAAAAAGTAATTCTTAATATATAGTTATCAGAAAAGTAAAATTTAAAATTACATTAAAGACTCCTAAAAAACAGCACTATTCTGCTGCATAAGCGCACTATATTGTGTGTTACGTATACATAAAACATATGCAGGTCTAATATATACTAGTACTACTATTACTATACTATTACTTAAGTTCTTGACTCCTAAGTGGAGCATAGAGCCATCAAATTTAATAAAATATTAAATTTAAATAGTTTTAAATTTGATTATAATATACATTTAGAAAAACATGCTCTAACCACATTATAGAGTTAAATTGACTTGAGATTTTGTCAGAGATATTTTAGCTTATATGGTAAAGAAGATCTGAAGACCAAGATTTGGTATGGTTGAACCAACATGATGCGTCGAATAAGAATATTTTGATCTCACTATTAGTTAAAATCTGGTTAAAATAATTATAGTATTTTTTTGAGTGTAATAATGCTATTATTTTAAGTATTAGTTTGTTAAAACAACTAAGTCAAACTTAATAGCAATTTAATACAGATTAAGTGTATACAATATATACTAAATTTTATTATAAGGCATTTAGTCTTATAAAATAAAGGATATTCCCGACTATTAAGTTTATATGAGTAACAGTGGTATTCTATGTTTAGAAGGGACAATAAAAAAGTAGTGCAATATATAGCCACAAAAAGTAGTAGATATCAACAAAAAAGTGATAATGATATTTGATATAAAATAATAAATCCTAAAATTTAACAATAAAATAGTTAAAAAGAATAATGGTTCTAGGAATAATATGGCAGAAGATAATTAAAAGAAGATAAGAAGATAATTGGATAGCCTTTATATCTTGGTAAGCTATATCTTTATAGCTCAGTTTTAATAATTCCAATTTCTATAAGTATTAAAAATATATTGCAATTATTATATATACAATATGTTGCTTTATAGTAATATATTGGTTAGCTATATCTTTGTACACCACTTTTATTAATTTCAATTTCAAAGTACTACAAGCATATAAGATATATGCATTTTTTATATATACAATAGATTCATTTATAGTAATATTTTAGTTAGCTATTCTTCGTCCCCCAGTTTTAATGGATCCAATTTATGTCCTATAAGGGCTTAAAATATATTGCATTTATTATATACAATAAATTGCTTTACAGAAAAATCATGGTTAGCTATATCTTCTTACCGCATTTCCAAATTTAAGTTCTATGACGACTTAGGAACATAAAGTTTTATAAAATTTATTAAATTATTAACTTTACAAATGATAACTAAAAATAATTAATTAATTGATTCTTAATGTGGCAACTAAATCAGTGGAACCATAGGTACTCATATAGACAAAAGTATTGTAAAAACTTTGATGTTTAGAAATATAAATGATGACTAGGTATGGTTAGAACTTGATGATGGAACTTAGTTGATGTTTAGAATTTTTAAAAGCTTTATGCTTTATAGTATAAACAATTAAATATTTAAAAATATTATATGTTAAACAACCCGAACTGGAAGAGGTTTTTAATAAATAGCAATCCAATTATGTCCTTAGAGAAAAGTTTAGAATAGATACATATCGAAGTAAAGTGCGGTATTCATAAGTACATCTATTTAATAAAATTGAACTAATAAAGCGTTTCGGAAATCAATTTAATAATTCTTAGAATATTTTAAAACTTAAAGTACTTATACCATATATAATTTTATGTTTTATTTACTGAAGCATAAAGTACTTATAATGCAATAAGTTTTCTAGGAATGAATATCAGTAATTTTTATTACTTTTAAGTCTATAAATTTTAAGCAAAAAGTTTTAAAATATTTCACAGAACGAAAGTAGAATATTATGTTTATAAATGAATATAAATTTAAATGACATCATTGAAATCAACACATTCCACGTTACAAAATATGAGGTCATCTAATGTTTTAAAAAAGGAACAAGAAACCGCAAACTTAATATTTATGACGATACTTAAACTTACCCGTATTAAACAAAAAACAAATGAATAAATTTAAATAAAATTTATTAATATATCTAAACAAAAGCATAAGCAAAACTCTTTCTACTTACCTCACCCGCTGATTTTCTGAGTGTATCGTTAAGCGCAATGACCCATGAGATGAGTAATTCATTCACAATAACTAAATCGCTATAAAGCCAACGAAATACTTGACTGGTCCATGTAACGGAAACCTAAAATAATGAGTTTTATATAGTAACAATTATAAAAAAAAAAAGTAAAACTCTCCAAACTAACAGTTTCTTTTCCAACAACATTGGATGGTGGCGGTACATAACGTTTTTTGCGACTTTCAGGCCCAGTAGAACTTTGACGTACAACACGTCTACGTGCACCACCACCAACTGCACCTCCAGCACTTGAAGCAGGTGAAGCTGTAGAACGACCACGTGCACCACCAGCGGCAGGTTTACTTAGAAGATCCTATAATTGTTACATATATTATAATAATATATATAAAAATGTTGTTACTTAGTTTTGTTTATACCTTAATATCAGATTTTGTAGCTAATAATTCTCTCGGTTCGGATAAACGTGTTTTATCGTTTTTAGCACCACCGGGCGCTACACTACTTTGTCGACTATTACTTTGACTTCCCGTCGTTTTATTTTTTAACATATATTTATTGTAGAAATATTTACACAGCCATACAGAGAAAAGAGCCAATACGGCCCATATAAATATGAAAATTGCTAATGAGTCCATTGTTAAATCACCAATTCCTTCAAATGTACAAATATAATCATCGATTTGATCTGCTAAATCCATAATTTATTTTAGTGTGCAGATACAAATTTTTTGCATCATATCTAAAAATATAAAGAAAATATGTTTATTAATTTACAAATAAAATCAAGTTTATGAGAAAAAGTAATATTGCATAAACTAATCAATCATTTTTTTATAGTTTCTTTTATTTATAGATTGGTTTGGCTAAAAAAACATTTCAGATTATATGACACATATGAAGATTGTTGTGAAAAAACACTATTAAAGTGACTCTGGTAACTCTTTGTTATTAGTTTCCATTAAGAAATTACTCTAATCAGTAGTTGTCCACACGAAAACCATTAAAATGCTTCCTCGCTCTTAAATTTGGGATTTTGGAGAGTATCGGAGAAACCGTCCTTTGATTGTCAGAATACGTAAACATTTTACATGACGTCTAGTACAAAACTACAAAAGGTCTTACTCCATATTGTAACACATAGGCTTATACATATGTGACTTATAACCAGCCCGATTAACTTAATGTAACTTAACTAATGCCCGATATCATATACAGTATAAAGAATATATATATTCTACATATATCGTAGAGCATAAAGTACGCTAACAACATATACTTGAAAATCGCTTAAGTAATAGAACATATTGAGAATCAGAAATCACTAATACAAATAATGGATATATCATTTTAACAACAAAAACAGAATCGTATATGGTATTTGGAAGAGTACACATAGTTTTAAACAAATAAATTAGTTTATTAACAATATTTTTATTTTTAACTATATAATTTTTTTGAAAATATTTAGATACCTAAAGAATTGACTATTTTTTTCTCAGACTATTCTATATATTTGGACTCACAAGTAGTACAATGTGTAATTCACATGATTTTCAAAGACTGCATAACTATGAAATTAAAATTAACAAAGTAAGTAAAAACATTATCTACAATAATTCAAAGACATCAAAGATTAAGCAGAGCATAGGTCAATATTTTAAAACCCAGAACATGTTGCGGACCAAAAAAACATTCAATGGTGCAAGAATCGGTAAAATATTCTATGTTCATCGGAAGTAAAGTACCAATACCATTCTTAGAAATAATATAGTAAAAGAAGAAAATACAATATTTTACGAACCAGTGGTGTTTATGAAGCGGCACGGTGCCAATCTTAGAACCAACGGTTGACCCTACCCTACTATAGGCTATTGGCCATTTAAAAATGGTAAGAGAATTAATGATTAATATTCTTTACTAGCTATAAACATTATTTTGCAATTAAATAATAATAACATAACAACTTCATTACGAAAATTTTTTTCGCAAAATCTAAAAATACAAAAAAGTTTAAAACAAGATTCCGATAAAATCAAGTTTTGCCGTGTGAATAGGTTTTAAGCGAAAAACCGAACGAACTAATTGATAGAAATTACTATCAAAATTAATTAATATAGTTTTGTATTAGGCTAAATAAAAGAAAATTAAATATTATAAATATTTAATCAAAAATAAGTTTACTTATGCCAACGATTTTTCAGAAGAAATTTATTCGAACAGAACATTTTCAAGAGAAGTCAAAATTGATGAGAAATTCCCGTGCCGGTTAGAATGATAAAAGTGACTTATAGTATTTAAATAGTCTTTCCACCAAGAAAGTTTATATATTTAAAAATTTTTAATTGTGTAATTTAACAAAAATAAACTTAATTAATTGAATATATAGTATATATATAATTTTAAAATATCGATTTATAATAACATTGAATATAGCGAATAACAGATAAATATCAATATTATCATAATAATTTACCGTTTTGAATGTTGATTACAGTTAAGAGACTTAAAACCAGTTTAAATTTCATATATATTAATTAAAAAATTTATAATAATAATAATAATAAATTTAAATAATTTATTTTGTGTTTTTTAAATATTTTACTTTATAACTTATATTTTTAAAAATTAAACAGTTATAAGTTTTCATGTAATTTATTATTATTTTCTTATTTGTTTAAATATTTTGCAAATTATTTTTTATTTTTATTTAATTAATCTTATTTTATTTTTATTGTATTTTTTTTTTGTGTAAATTCTCTAAATTTTTGGTTATATTTTCTTAAAATATTTGCAGATTTGAGGATTGACAAGAAACATCTGGGCGCAACTAGCAGAGACACAAAAAACTGAAGAGATTGATGTGCTCATATAAAAATTAAGATACACAGATACTTTTCAGTAAGTTTAATATAATTTTTCATTAATATAAGATATTTTTATATTTTTAGAAGAAACATAATTTGTTTCAAAATTTATTAAACGTAATTGGTGCATTGATCTTTTATTTTCAGTTAAACATTTAGTAAAAAATTCACACACAATTTTAATTATTATGTTAAAAAAAAATAATTAATAAATTATATTATATATAAATATATTTTATAATATAAAATTATAAAAAAAAAAATTAAAGTAATAAAACGAACAAAAATCGAACCGAATAGAACGCATAAAACGTTCAAAAACCGAAATGAACTGAACTGATCGGGAAAATTTTGAGCAAAGTTCTTTGTATTTTCAATATACATTCTAATACATTCATATATGTTTATATAAATATATATGTGTGTTTAATATAACACATTTTTTGTATATATACAAATTAGAAAATCTATTTTCGCGCCGTCGCAAAGAGATTAACGAAGTGTGAAAAAAGAAATTTCACTTTTCCGAAAAAGTGCTCTATTATTTTTTCCAGTTTTCTCCAATTATTTCTTCTGAAGATCCTTGGTAAGGCAGCATTTTTTAAAAATATAAAAAGATTTTTGTATATAAAAAAAAGAAAATAAAATCAACTGCATCCATAAAGAGAAAAAATTTATTTAAAATGTTTTTAATATGGGATTAGTCGCTTCTATATATAGTTTCGTATATTTCTCTCCAACTCTACTTACATATATGCACATTTGTGTATCTTTAGTATGTATGAGTACCAGGTGACGGCATTAAATCTTAAATTTGTTTGAATTTAGTTTTCATTTCATTATTTTACTTTAATTTATTTTTATTTTGTTTATTTTATATATATTCACAGAACGGTGTGTTTTATTGGTATTGCCTATATTAGTTTATAACAAAATTGACGTCACTATTTTGAGGTGTGTGTACTTTTAAAATCGATGATGTAATTTTGCTACTTTTTCTATTCAATGATTTAGTGATTTATTATACTTTATAGTGGCTATAAAAATTTAAACAAAAAAGGAACAAAATTTCGCAATCAATACGATTTATAAACAGCTAAATACTCAATAAATCTTTTTAGTGGGATGTGGCAAAATAAATAAAATAATAGAGTTTTAGTACTCGTATGCCTCTAGTTTAAATAAAAGAATAATATATTGAATATCTTACAGAAAATAAGTACAAAAGATAAAAGTTTATAAAAAATTAACAGATAGTCATTTATATTGTATCGTACTATATCGCTACGATTATACGTATATCATCGTATAATTATTATTTATTAATTATCCACTTACGATTAGCTCATAACGCTCATTCACATTTTTTGTTTTTGTAGTGAACAGGTGGAATGCACCGTCAGCCCGACCAGAATGCTGTGCTCGAATCTCTAACATTAATATATAGTATACGGACTAAAACATCCCCACTTCGACAAGACTTATTACCCCTCGGAACCGCTTTCGCATTACTTCGAGGAAAGTCTCTTTTATGTTGACATTTCAAGCCATGCTTTTGTGATTTGCAATCTGCGTTCAGATCTCCACTTTTTTACCTTATTTTCTTGGTGTCTGCACTATTTATCAACCTAGTTTCTGATTTTATTTTCTTAGTCTAATTTCTTTGCTTTAAGGGTTTAGATTACATAGGACTCTATCGTTCGTCAGCACTCTGGGTTCGCTTTTAACTTTTCCACTATATTTCTTGGATTTATTGTTCCAATTTGAGCTATTACCTCTTCTCTAAATGTGAGCTATCTATTACAATAATAGTGCTCTATGTTCACTTAACTGATCTAACTAGATTAATAACTTTAGCTAACTGGTTATTTAAAGTAGTGACACAAAATGAATGGAATTAGCACTTCAGTAATATAAAATGCTGTTATAAAACGTAAAAATGGTGATTTCTTTATACACAATGGTTTACGAACATCTTAAACCCGAGGAAGGTTTCGCTATACACATTAGTTTACTGTAATAATTATATATAATTTTAGCTTTTAGAAGACCAATATACAGATCGTGTATTATGTTAAACGAATAGGTGAGAATGTACAGGATAGATTTGACAGATTTTTAAGGAGAATCCAGTGCTTCAATGGAAGGGCTAGTCATTTCGTACTACCAAATGGCGACAGAAAGTCGTTGATCAGGTTGGCTGGCAAAAGCTACTGAACGCGAGACAGTTAGTTGGTTCGGTAAATTTTAATTAAGTAATAATTTGTAAGTAAATAAGGGAATATTTTTTTTTTAATTTTTTATAGTATCTATGTTCTAGTATATCTATGTTTCTAGTATCTATAAAAACTGAGAGGAATTAGATACTTTCATGTAAACAGATATGAATAGCACATTACATACAATCATCTCAACAGACTTAAAATATTATATATATTTAAAACCATTTTAAAATGTTTGGTCCTTACCCTTGTAAATATATGTTACACACAAATTCAAACATATATTTAGCGTACAGATGGCGCTCGTATATTATTAAAATATCTGTTTTATGTCTTCAACTTGACTTGATTGATTTAAAAATAAATTCGTGAATTAAATTGTTAACTTTGCCGTCTTCTTTGTTTTCTGTAAAAATGCATTTTTGTCTATGTTTAAAAATAAATAAAATGAAAATATTTGCTCTGAGGGTAAATTAAATAAAATTTTGCTTTTATTTAACAGAAATAAAATCAATGCAAAAATTGGCACGCGATGCAATTTAGAAAAGAATTCCCATTTTAAAATTATTTAAAAAAAGGAAAAAGATTAAATCAATAAAGATATATTAAAATACAAAATGGTTTCTTTAGAAAACAATAGTGTATAGGGCCTTATAAAATATGTTCTTGAATTTGATTTGAATAACGTTCCGAAGAGGCATTGCTTCCAAATGCTGCTTGCATTACACTAGTTCCTCTCTAAAATTAAGGTTTTCAATTATAAATTATATTATTATATATATTTCTTTCACCATCTAACGATTGAGTACAGTGAAGAGTTGAATTAAGATTTAAGATATAGGTTAGGATTAAGTGTCATAGCCCATGAGTCCGTTACATTACAATAGATATCTTGTTCAAAAATGCTCCACTCCAAATAATTAGATTTTCTTCACAGTTTCTTTGACACATGTTTTCTTGAGTTCAGAGTATTACTCTACCCGATTTACTTTTTATATCAGTTTCTAAAACTACTTTGGGGTCTTTGAAGAAGCTTTTTCTAAAAATTGTAGACTTGGATATTCACAATAGGTAAGAGTATAATAGTTTTTCCATATCGTATTTCTAATGATTAATTTCATATGTTGAATTCTAATCAACATATATATCAACAACAACCAAACGAGATTATGATAGCTAATTTCGTCTCTTCTTGGCTATAAATCTGCGGATTTTTTCTTATTCCTCTTGGCAGACACTGCAAAGATCATCAGTTAGAATTTTAGATCTCCATACATACCTGCCATTTAACATTAATCGTGTAAAAGAATTAATATTTTATAGAAAAATAAAATTAAGGTCTTCAATTTTTCCAAATAAATTGTTCTAATTTCTCTCATATCTGTCATTTACATAAAATATTTAATACAATAATCAGTGCGATCACATTAGAAGTTTTATGTGGCTTTCCTGAAACGACCACCGATTGTTTCGCCATACGTACATGATAACATTATCTATCCATAAAATAACATCTGCCTTATTATCATTATTTTGTTACTTAAAAATATCGGTCAAAGTTTCTTTCATCACACTGATTGCTACCATAGTTTCTGACTCCAATTATAATAGTTGAAATCAGCCTAAGCCATCAAAGAACAGCTGTCCAAGTTTTATTCGATAGAAGAATAAACATGTTTTTTTGTATATGTGTGTTGATTAGAATTACTAAATCTATAGATTTAGCGATATTCAACTGCTGGTTTATTTATGGTTATATGATGGTTAAGTTTATGAGTAGACTCAATTGGGCAACTGTATAACTAAGTCACTATTAACATTAACTGCTGTCAATGATCTGTTTTTAATATATCTTAAAATATATGTTTATTGAACTTTTTACCAGATGTATAATTTTTAAATGTATATAGATGTAGATATAAAAAGAGTTCACATATAGGAACAGTTTTATACCCGGTAGCTTTATAATTTCATCCAATTATAACTTCAATTATATACATCTCTCATAACATATATATATATTAAAAAACATAAAATTTAATATATATATTTTTAATTTATATGAAATTTAATTTTTTGACCTAATTTTATCCATTGACTTTAAACATATGATGTATATGCATAAGAATTAGTCATAGGTAAGTAAGCAGATAGTAGGAGATTTCCGTTATATTATCTGCAGATAGGTGTGGGTAGAAGAAGGTAATTGCACTGAACCCACATAAAACTAAATTCAAACAAAATTTTCGAATGTTAAATTATTTGCTAACAAATTAAATACAAACAAATTATTTACAATTATATACGCTCTTCAGTCATTCTGGGCCGCACACGAGCACTCTTGCACAATGTCAATTATCTTGTAAAACACTTTAATGTCATGTAGCCTGTGTTGCCAATATTTTCTATGAATAAGCCAAGCATTTCTATTTTATTTTCTACTTTTTCTACTTTTTCTT